CCTGGATCCGCCAGTGGGTTGCCCCACTCCGAGCTTGACTAAAAATGTCTTCAAACCCCACCAGAAACCGATGGTAAGGTGAATTTAAATCCAATAACTCATCTCTGTCTGCCCGCCTAAATATACAACACATGGTACGGCACCCGGCCCTGTCTGAGCTATGAGCCGATCGTGATATTTTCGGCTTTCCTCATCCCAAGCTCGATTAGAAACGTTCTCCTTCCCCACCCGATTGCTGATGTCAATTCAAATTCAATACCTCATCTCTGTCTGCCCGACCATAACCCATTCATTGCACACCGTTCAGCGCCCGGCCCCGCCAGAAGTATCCTAGCGCGCTGAGCAGTTGCCTCCAGCCGCGTCATCGCGAGGCCCCGCGCGGCCCATAAATTGATACATTGCGCGAATAGCCGTGTCGCCCCCCTGGGTTTCACTGATAACAGCACGCTGCTATCACACGTGTCAAATGGGGTTTCCATGGAGATATAAACAAACTCTTATCTTCAAGTTACAACGCTACCCCAAAATGTACCTAACGTTAGCTCCTGGCAGGTTGTCAAGAGCGGATGGCGGCGTGGGCGTGCTGCTCTCGGCCGTGAAACACCGTCTAGTTGAGATGATTCCATGACGTTTTTTTCGTCTAGCAGATTTTCGTCGGAAAATTTTTCGTCCGCAGATTTTCGTCCGACTTTTTGTCTCGCATTTTTTCGTCCGTGCATTTTTTTCGTCGGTACATTTTTTTTCTGAGCGGAAACTGAGCTGAGCAGAGGGCTGTTCACGGGCCCTGTGTGCGGTCGGACCGCACACAGCCTCCAAGCTCCGCCCACTGCGTCCCTACGTCAGCCTTCCGTCACCGCACACAGCGACCGCTGTGGCCGGTCGGGACTGGCCACAGCGGACCGTCCACCGCACGCAGCCGTGACGTCAGAGCCGCCTACCCATCCCCTACCCCCACGCCTGCTGGACGCACCGCACACACCGCACGCAGCAGTGTGCGGTGCCCGTGAACACCCCTCTGAATTGAGCGGAAACTGAGCTGAGCTGAACGGGAACTGAGTTGAGCTGAGCTGAGCGGAAACTGAGCTGAGCTGAGCTTAGCTGAGCGAAAACTGAGCTGAGCTGAGCGGAAACTGAACTGAGCTGAGCGGAAACTGAGCTGAGCTGAGCTGAGCGGAAACTGAGCTGAGCTGAGCTGAGCGGAAACTGAGCTGAGCTGAGCTGAGCGTGAGCGGAGCGCAGCCGGTTTGAGCGGAACGTGAGCTGAGCTGAGCCGCGTTAAACTGAGCGGGAGCTGAACGGGAGCGGATAAGACGGAGTTGAGCTGAGCGAGCTCACTTTTTTCTTGAGCTGTCACAAGTCTGCTTCTTTGAAACTACGCCATGTCGTTTATAAGTTCTGAACAGCCTCTTCTCTGAGCTAGCCGGTGGAAGCTTGCTTAGCTCTTTTCTTACGATCGTCCAGATAGTTTGGATCGGAGACAGGTCCAGACTGTTGTCAGACATGTCCCCTTCTCCCAGAGGCTTGGGAGCCTCGCTCGGTACCAGTCCTGGGTCTTCCTGGCGTGATAAGCTCGATCCCTCCGCCAGAAGTCCGGGAGGTGCTCCTCGCACCACTGCTGGCTCGTGCCGGCGGTGTGAGCCGGGGCGCGAGTTACCTAAGTGTGGAACTACAAGTCGATTCTAGGGCTCTGATTGGTGACTTTGGTCGGGGGATGACGCTTATAGCATGACGTCACTCGCGTACTTGGCCGGACCAACGGCGCAGCGCAGGCGCGCCGAGCCAACCCAGAGGCTCTCAAACTCAATTGTACAGATTCTGCGCATTGAATGGCGAAACTTCGGCGAGTTCGCTTTAGTTTGGAAGCTCCTGCCAGAGGACTGGAGACGGCCGGATTATTTGCTGGACAGTGGGAAGCGCAGATGGCGATTGACGGTGCCAAAAAGATGATATAGGGGAAAAGGAGTTGAGACTTTAGCAGTGAATTATAAGCCTGTTGCATAGCTGAGTGGTAAATTGTAAAATGCTTAGGGTTTGAAGAGATGCAGTGTAGTTTAGCCGACTCAGGGGCATTCTGCCGAGTTATGTAAGGCGGAAGGGTCGCAACTCGCAAGTCGTTTGTTTCCATGATTGCCTGATTAAAATGTAAAGCGTATCTAATGTTTAGTTGATAATACAGCGAGGTTGGGCATCTGCTCAATCCATTTCTTCTCTGCAATAGTGCATTCGCCACTGTAATTCATTGTAAGAGGCACTGGGCTGCGCCGCCTGTTAATTATTCCGAAACCACCAGTGAATTCATTTGCTGTCGTCACAGTCACTCACAACAATACGAATCGTTCAGTCGTGCGCTGGGGGTCCGCCAAGTTTAATTGTGCTGCAGAATGCAGACTGGACCGCAGAGAATATAACACTTCCGTCTCCCTGGGCGAGCGGCGCATTGGAGCCGAAGGAAACTGCTTCAGTTTTTTTTGTGGGGAGGATACCCATGTTTGAAAATTATGTTATGGAATGGTGTGATAAGGAAAAGGACGGTTTCTTGAATTGAGGGCTGTGGAGAAGAGGCAGATTTTCTCATTTGCTACCCGATGCAACGCGAAAAGACGCAAATGTTGCACATTGGGCTTAAAGGGACCCTCCCACCTTCAAAAAAGTTAATGAATTGGCATGAAAGTGATGTCGCTCGGTTCAGAAAGAGTGAAAACGAATATCTACCAAATTTCATCGAAAAATAAAAATATTCACCGGTTTTCAAGATATTAGACTTTTACTTTTGTTTACTTTTTGGGATCTCCGCTGTTCCTGGCGACTTTATTTGAAAGTGCGGCATTTGTTGCGCGCAAAGCAGCATATACCACCGCGTGCTACCAAACGTTTTAGTAAAAGATTAAAAAAATCGTTAGATCTCCGCTGACGTCACAAATCCTAAGGGGGCATTCCAATGCACTAGCCCCTTAGAATCCGAAAACTGCAAGTTTGAAATTCCATATCTCCGAATTAAAGCATTTTTCGATGTTGTGAGTGCCCAAACCGGTATTTTCAGGCCATGGCCACCAATTTGGCTATCTCAACTCAAAACTAATGTTAAGGTGGGAGGGTCCCTTTAATAAGTCTAATAAAAGATAAGGGACTTCGTGAATCATGCCTAATTGACCGCGACCAAGTTATTTGCCAATGCAGGTAGGCACTAGGTAGGTAGATACTCATTTGTGAACAGAACGTTCCACCACCCCTCGCCAGAAATTCAATCAGCAGTTGCTTATTAAAACGTTTGAGTGCACCTGACAACCTTTAAAAATGACGTCCTCCCTTTCGATGGTTCGTGCGAAGACACAAAGCCAGAATCAGCCAAGCAATATCGGAATCCATTGCGCAGTGTGTCGGATGTGCCCCCAGTTTTCAATCCACATAGCATAGCACACACTGCTAAATGCAGGTACGCTCACTTACACATTAGGTATTCGAAGGACTTAATACCTCATACACATGGAAGAAACACATGAAATGTGATTTATAGCTGCAGCAGAAGTTTGGCGTTCGATGCCTCTTCGCCAAGTTAAGACCATGCCAATCTCGGCCAGTCTGCCGCTGCGCCGGCACTGGCCGTGGTGTGACGTCATCCGGCCGGCTCGGCGCTGGGTAGTTCCACACTTAGGTAACTCGCAGCCGGGGCGCCATCTTGCTGGAAGATGACCTTGGACATGTCAGGGTGGAGTTTGACCTTTGTCGGAGGGCAGTTCTCACGGGTTCTGCTCAGCGCCGACTTCAGGGCCGTCTAAAGGGTGTTGTCCTGGTAGTAGCTGGCGTTGACAGTCTGACCGCGGAGGAACCACGTGCAGATCAGACAGCCCTCGGAAGCTCATCGCGCCCCACACCATGACCTTTGTCGGGTGCTTGACAGTTTCCGTTGGGACGTCAAAAGAGCCATGGGCCCAAACTCGGTCGTTTTGGCGGTTGAGTGGGTGGTGTAGCTAGTAGGGCGACTCGTCGCTGAACATGACCCGTCTCTAGTCGTCAATGTCCAGGTGGAGTGCTGTTTGGCGAACCAGACGTCAGCACCTCTGTTCCGGGGACAGCTTAGGCTGCAGCTGCGGCTTGAGAGGCTTGAGACCAAGACCAAGACAGGTCCTCAAATAACGGTGTACAGAGGACTTTGATACCGGATAACCTCGCTGTGAAAGCTTGTTGGACAGTTTTCTAGTTAAGTGCCCCCGCTTGAAGGCGGACTTCGCGATGACGATTTTGGCAATGCGTGTGATGGTGGACTTGCGACCACGTCCTTCATGATTCTCCAGCCCTTTGCCAGCACGGTGAGGGCAAGCCAACGTTTCAGCGACCGCTTTGGAATCACCAGGTCTTGGGCGACTTGCAATGGCTTCATGCCGCCGGTAACCATGCCAGCGGTCCGGAAGCGCACTGCCAAAGAGTGCTCCCGGCGCATGCTGGACACCTCTTCAGGGCTTTCGACATTTATTTTTAGAAATCCTTAATAGAGACATCTCGACGATTTTTTATATGCTAGAAAGTAGGTCAGCACGTGCAACAATAAGCACTCATGCCACTGCACATGATTTTTTGAAAAATACATCACTGCAAAATATTCAACTTGAGATCAACGAACTTTTCGAAGACCGCCATCAATTCTGGGACACCCTAGCTTGTGCCTTTTCACTTTTGGTGATATGCAGTTTCTCCACGTTGCCTGTCTGGACGAGAGTGGCCTCTCGCGCCCACTACCGGCGGAGGTCGGGTTAGCCGCTTGGTTCACGTGATCGTAAGACCAGCAAGGTGTCAGTGGTGCCAAAGCCGGTAAAATTGCATTTGTTTCGGGAGCATTCGAGAGGGGCAGCATAACATGCGGCACCAACCGCGCATCAATTTCGGGATCCAGCCCGGGCGGGCGTCCCTGTCTTCCCATTCAGCCATCCTAAGAGCGACCCCTGCCCTGGAGCCGGCCACGCTGAGCAGTGACCAGCTCAGGGCCGGCGTGCGTGGCGACTCACCGAGCGGCAGGTTCGGGTCGGACATGACCACCCGCTTCTGGCCGAGGTCGATGGTGCCCAGCCGGCCGCTGAGGTCGCCAATCTCACACCGCAGCGGCGTCTCCGGACTGCACTGCTCGTTGTAAAAGTCGTGCTGTGGACAGGAGTGGGTCGTTACTGGAACACAGTCGGCACTGGCCACAGGTCATAAAACAGCATTCCCATCTCGAAATTGCGCATCAGGCCGACAGCTAGAGGGAATTAGCACTAAACCGCAATCCGTCTTCTTGTGAAGCGCGTAATCGCCATCCAGCTAAAAAAGGAAGCGACATTTAAGACGCATTATTGGGAGCAAATGAGAAAATGAGAATGTTACTTGAATGCCGCATCGCTTGATTAAAGAAAGCGCGGTTTTAACCCGCGCCCGGCTGGGGGTCCTGGATTTCCACGCCCTGCTGGGGGGGGGGGTGTTTGAACACCCCCCCCCCCCTTCTAACTCGGCTCCTGGGCCACGTAGCGATACGCGGAAGGCGGCGTTCGAAAGAGAGTCAAAAATAATGACGAAATCACTTCAGTCAATTTTTTGGTCAGGTCAAAGGTCAGGTCACCAGAGGTCATTGAAGGCAAAATTTCGCCGATTTCCAGGTCGAATGTCGAAAATTTCCAAGAAGCCAACGCATAACTCGGGAACCAATAGAGCTACAGCGTCTCGGAAAAGCGCATTCGATAGCCCTATTAACGCCCTTTCTGAGTAATCCTCTCAGATTTGACCTAACGTCAACGGTTTTGCCTGCAGGGGGCAAAAACTGCAAAAATAGCCCATTTTTTCGGAAACAGTTTTTCTGCAATAACTTTTGACCCAAGCCTTGTACGAGCTTACTTTTACCAGCATCGTGTTCCTCTCGTCAAGACGCATCGAATGAACTATAACTTGACCTTGGAAGGTCAACTTGAAAATTTGACCTCAGGTCAAGGTCATGACCTGACCGGAAAGGGTCATGTTGCATATCAGTCGATCCGAATCGTCGAGCTGAACACATCTAAGGCGTTTTCATCGCTCTAGCATGCCTCTATCAAAAGTTATTTGCGAAAAACTGTTAGATACCATTCGTGACCTAAGATGACCTCAGGGCAGACTTGTAAACGACTCTGAGTTGATTCGTGAATCGACTCAGAATCAAACCGTTTTTCGATGAGTCATGAGTTGATTCGAATCACTTCATCGAGGAACTTGATGAGTCATGAGTTGATTCGAATCAATTAAATTTAACATCATGAGTCATTTGATGAATCGATTCAAATTTTCAGACTCAAACAAAGAATCGACTCAAAAAAAATTTGAGTCGTTTACAAGTCACCATCAACACCCTAATAATCAATGCTAGATCACCCCCTCAGCTTTAGCCATCACTTAACTCCATATTTCAGACTTACAAGAGCCTCAGAGGCTCAGGCACAGCCGCCTAATGAGCCAAAAGCATTTGGCAGTTGGTAGGTACTTAGTCTTACCAAACCAAGTGCCTGCTACCCGGTACCTACATTTTACATGTCAGAAGTCAGAATTGACACCTGCGGCTGCCTCCCCTTCTCCCAGTCCCAATTTGGTCCCAATAATCAATCAACAGCATAAGAGTTTGGGCGTCTATTGAGTCAAATACGCCCAAACTACCTATAGCCTATAAACTACCTATAGGCTATGCTATAATATAAATAAACAGTAAACTCACCTATAAACCACAAAATTGCGATGCTCAACTGCCAATAAACCACAAAATGCACATTTTCCCATGAAATAGAAGTTTAAAAAGAAACTTGTTTTATGACATCATAGAATCTTCAGAATAATGTAAAGGAGCGGCTTCGAAATATTTTATCAGCGATCTCCATTGGCCTAAAATATGTACTACGAGTGACGTCATGAATTCGAGAATAGAATGTGAAAGTCATAGTAGTTTTAAGAAAACTACATTAATGGCGCAGTTGATAACTTTCACGTCTGAATCTCGTGACAAATTGGCCGGATGACGTTGCCCGAATTAATGACAATTTATTTTTACCAAAAGAGCCACTTGGTCAGTGCTCCGGTGCTCCTGATATCGATTAATATTCAATGACGTCATTTTTAATCTAAAATTGCTCAAGATCATATCTGATTCTGAGGCCTGAGCCACTCATGCAAGGTCATGGACTCCTCGTGGCCCATGGAGCCCTGTTGATGCTGAATGTTTCACAGGTGGGATTAATCCTATTTTTGAGGTTGTACTGTTTGAATAATTTTATCTGATAAGTAAGAAGTAGTAACATTTGTCTCATTATCATGTAGAAAAAGTTTGATTAAAAGAAAACATGAATGCCTCTTGGAACTTGTGCTTTTGAATTTTCAAATAAGACTTTCTAGGTAATAATAAGAGATAGGTTACTATGCTACTCCTTAGTCCTTACTTATATTATAATTGTCTCTCAGAGTTACTTACAAATTTATCTGACATTGCACTGTTGACTGTTGAGTGTTGAAGATAGGTAGGTGTAAGGTAGGTACCTATGTACCTAGTCCTACTAGGTAGCTGCTTGAATCTTTGATCAAGGCTACTATGCTGCTTAATACAATTGTGGTATGCGGCATATTCATTTTATCATAGCTTTGAGTCAAATAATCAACAAATGCCTATAGTGAGTCATGGGTTGAATGAAATAAGTTCAATAAAAATGTCGTGTGAGTCATGAGTTGATTTGAATCGATTCATCAAAATGTGTGAGTCATGAGTTGATTCGAATCATTCCGTTGGCTAGTTGCTTGAGTCATGAGTTGATTCGAATCATTTTATCGAGGAACTTGATGAGTCATGAGTTGATTCGAATCAATTAAATTTAACATCATGAGTCGTTTGATGAATCGATTCAAATTTCCAGACTCAAACAAAGAATCGACTCAAAAAAAATTTTAGTCGTTTACAAGTCTGCCTCAGGGCATAAACAAGGGTCACGGACACCATTTTAATGTTCTGTGTGTCTAAACCACTTGTAATTCGGTGTTTGGGAGTGTTTATAATGTCTTTCGTCCAAAAGAGGCGCATTTCAATTTTCTCCCATTGACTTATAATGGGGAGGTCGCAAAATTGACCTGACCTTAGGTCATCGATATCAAAATTCTGAGATATACATTTTGTACATGCTATTGCTCTTAGCAATCGCTGAAAGTTTCAAAGCGATCGGTCACTCGGCGTAGCTATGACAGACATTGAAGCTTTTTATGAGGTGAGGTCACTTCAAGTGACCTGGTGACCTGACCTTGAATGACCTTGGTGTGAAATTTTCACAACATGTGTAGAATTGATGTATGATAAGGTGTACCAAAAACGGAGCGCCGCCGTTTTTGAGATATTCGCGAAAAACCACAAGGGGGGGTGTTCAAACACCCCCCCCCCCCCAGCAGGGCGCGGGTTAAGGCTCATGATTATATATATAACTGCAATGAAAACCCTAAGCCTCATGCTAATAATTGTATTCAAAATAGGACCAAGAAAATAAGACTACTGTTTCGTGCATAGCAAATCGTCAGGTCTGAAGCAAACAATCATTTCACAGTTTTTTAAACGTAACACAAAGCCTGGTCAGTGAATAGATCTTCCTCCTAGTTGCGGAATGGTGCATACATACATACAGTGAGTTATAAATATTAACACATACACGCACTTTGATTCACAAGCAAAAACACGGTCGTTCGCAGTGATTATAACAAATGACAGACAGTAGATAACATGAATGAACCCAGTCTATTTGAATGGTAGGAATCGGGTATGTGAACAAATAAATGAAAAGATGGTAGAATGAAAGAGCCTATATATGTGTGCAAATTGGTTAGCAAATCCTATGTGTGTATGTGCGTGCGTGCGTGCGTGCGTGTGTGTGTGTGTGTGTGTGTGTGTGTGTGTGCACTGTGCAGCATGTGTGCAAGTGATTGAATGAGTGAGTGATTGAGTGAGCGAGTGAGTGGTTGAATGAGTGGATGATTGAATGGGTAAGTGAGTGAGTGAGTGAGTAAGTCAGTGGGTGAGCCATGCCAAGCAGGCTCAGAAGCGTTTATTTATTGTATATATTTATTAATTGAAGTGTATATTTATTTTCTTGGCCCTATTTTGAATACAATTATTAGCATGAGGCTTAGGGTTTTCATTGCAGTTATATAGCCGCATCGCTTCTTTACACATGATTCCGTAAACATCTGGCGAGGCAACGGATGCAGCCTTCTGTGTTCACTGCAGTGACGAAACCGAGACCCGCTACGATTCGTACGGCAGTCCTGCAACCTCCGTTAAGAGCGCCATCGAAGAGGGGGGGGGGGGCGGCACACGAGGGTAAATGCGTTATGAAGGTTTTGATTGCTCGGATCACCTTATAGAAACAAATACTAGCTGAGACAACATGTTCTAGAAAAAAAGCGAATAAATCGCCGGCATTCTGCGATCAAAACTATTAAAATTGCAAGGTAGCACAGAAACTGACATTGCGGCGATTGATGATGCGCAGGGCCGACGTCTGGACGCGATCCAACTTTTCCAATGTGGTGGGACAGGCGGCCACAACCTCTCCGCCGTATGAGAGCCGACTGAAGATAAGGGATCGATACAATGTGAACATGCGCTGCTGGTTTAAACCTTTCCTCTGTGCGGTTTTCAGGGCGCCGAGTGATCGCAAGCAACGGGCCGTGGTTTCCTCGACATGTTTGCTGAAGGTTAAACGCCTGTCCAGTGTGATGCCCAAATGGGTTATCGTCGCGTCAACACGAATGGGCTGACCGTCATATCGGAGGACCGGGACCGGCAGCGGCGTTCTGCTGAGGGACAAGACGCATGCTGCCGCCTTCGCTGGGTTTATCTCCATGTTAGCTTCGCAGCAGGCTACGCGCACATCGTCGAGGACCTCCTGCATCTGATTCGCGACTGTTGGCAGACATCCTCCGGTTCCGCACAGCAGTATGTCGTCGGCGAAGGTGTAGACTGTGAAGTTCGGAGGGACCGGCAAGGTGGCCAGTGGGAGCGTGTAGGCGTTGAAACACACCGGGGAGAGCGGGGAGCCCTGCGGCAGCGCCATCGTCACGGTCGTCCAATCAGAGAGCCATCTGCCACTCCTCAGCGCGCATCGTCTGGCCTGGAGCGCTTGAAGGATCCACCGGACGAAGAAGGGGTCGATACCTAAACTCCTCAGACGTCTGACCAGGATGGGCACCGACACGAGATTGTAGGCGTCCTGAAGGTCCAAGCCGACGATCAAGGCATGTTCCCTGGCTTCGAATGCCTCGGTGGCCTTGTGGACAACTTGTCCAACGTTCAACCAGGTGGCGCGCCCGGAGCGATAGGCGCCGAGTGTCGGCGGGAGGAAGGCCTCGAGCGCTGCTGACTCGAGGCCTTCCTCCGATTGATGGTGATGATGCACGTGAAAAGGCGTAATTTATGACAAAATGCTAGAGCAGCTGAAAGTGAAATATATCCAAAGCACTGTCAGACATAAAACTTCGTATACTGACAACACTGCCACAGTACCTGTAGCATGGTCCGCCAGGGCAGAAAGGTAGCAAACGTATTTGAGATGACAATACACAAAGCTTGCGCAGCGAAAAGGTTGTAGCAGGAAAAGGTGTGCGTTAGTGACCCTTGTCAGAAAATTGGGACATCATTGTGCGATGAGGCGGAGAAAAGGCGAAGCTAGTATAGCTATCCTATTTGTTTACCTCCAAGACGACAGCCGTCAGACAGACGCCTGATTTTTTTCCATAATTAATACTGGAGGAAAAATACGCCCACAGAAGCGATTGATGCTTTGCAACTTGAAAGAGGTTCATCGGTGTTTGAAGCGAACACCCAGATAGCAAAATCGGGCTGTCGAAATTTGCTGAGCTCCGCCCACCTCAGTGTGCCTCGGACAGGGCCAGCTAAACCCAATACCCATTGCGTCTGCGTAAACGCAACAATGTCAATGTCTTCACTTAACGGATCGGGTTCCCCGTATTTCCAGAAAAAGCGGCCAGCTTGGCCCAACAACAGCAGTGTCCCATAAGTAATTATTAGGTTTAATTTCAGTTTAAACTAAACAGCTGGACGTACGATCACTGTTAAACGATTCCATCGGTCGTTGTCGAACACAGACGGACGGAGAGGAAGCACCAGGGAGTTCAAACAGCTCACCGCATTCGGATTGGCCAGGTGGATGAAGTCCGGGTTCCAGCGGTAGCCACCGGCCGTGCAGCGAGACGTGAAAAACTTGACGGCGGCGTCGTGGCCCACCGGGTTGACGAAGATAGCCCAGTTGTGGCCCGAGGTGACGTTGCGGTCGTTGGAGCCCGGGTGGCGCAGGTTCAGCTCGATCACCGTCTCGCTGCGGCCGCCCGTGTGGTACACCAGCTGGCTCTGCCGGGTCGGTGAACGGCAGAATGTTATACCCGTCCTAACTGTCCGCATTATTTCCGTGCCGAGATCACTACCATTGGACTAAGCCAGGGACGCCGGACGGTACACCCGTTAAGTACACCAGCCGACTTCCCCGCGGATATAAGATGTTACATACCGCGCCGCGATCTCGGATCTGCCGTGTCCGCACGAATGGCGTAGAGCAGGGCGCTTATTTATTGTATGTAAACACGACAACATAATGACGCAACGGAATGGCAGACACGACGTTTCTAAAACATTTGGCGGCAAAGGCTTACAAACATAGCATACCAGCAGAAAACTGCACACCTATTGTACTTAAAACGTGTTCGTGTCAGATAAATCAAGTGATCCCTAATAATTGCGAATCCTCACTTAAAGCTTGAGCGGAAACAAAATACTGCATGCCTTACATCGAGTAATGCACCTTCAACTTACGTGGGCGGCGTTTCACTTACGAATCGGATGTATCCCCAGGCGTAGCCGTGTGGGTGGTGGAACGAAGCGATGGCGGTCACCTGACGTGCCTCGGCCGGCGAGTAGCCCCACAGGATGTTACCGCACATCCACCTGAGAGGCAGCCATCGGTCACACGGCGTGAACAGCTTGGCCTGTCCGGTAAGCATATTGAAGTCATCTAATTAATGTTATTAGATGCTAAACAAATGTTCAGACTAGGCCGTAGAGGCCAAAAAAGTTAACATGCAAACCGACCGAGGGCCCGCAGACGAATGACAAAGGCGAAAGCAAAGAAGGGCAACGAAGAAGCAACGACCTTAATGAAAAGCACACGTAAAAAAAAAGACAAATAGTAAAATAGTAATGTTATGTAATGGGCCGTGTGCACACCTGTGCAGACCCCTGCCTGGGCATTGGCGGTGGCCGATATGTGAGTTGCCTGCTACTGTGTGTGTGATACCTGGGTCGGCCCCTGCCGAGGTCAGGGACTGCCTGAGGGGACGACCCTCCTGTCGTCCCCACCACCGTGCTACAATACAGTCAGTCGGAACCGAGCGGTGGTGTGTCGATGGTGGGCCGCGAGACATAACATTGGCGACGAGCGGAGTGAGGACGGAGCCATGCCGTTGGGGAAGATTGAAGAATTTCACCAAGGACAAGATAACTGGGAAGAGTACGCGGAAAGGTTGGATCAATTCTTCGTGGCTAATGACATCCAGGACGATGCTAAGAAGAGGGCCATTCTTCTCAGCAGCATGGGAGCTCGGACATACGGTACGGTAAGATCGCTGTTGTCACCGAAGAAACAAAATGAGGTGACGTATGCCATGATTGTTGAAACATTGAGCAAGCAATTTTGTCCGCCCACATCGGTAACTGTCGCAAGATATCGGTTCTTTTCCTGTTGTCGAGTACAGTCAGAGTCTGTTCAGGAGTTTGTGGCGCGCCTGCGACAGCTGTCACGGGACTGCAAATTCGAATCGTTTCTTGATCAAATGATCAGAGACCGGCTGGTGTGTGGAGTTAACTCTGACCCCATTCAGCGCAGGTTGCTGGCAGAAGCTGAGCTGACTTTGCCGCAGGCAATCAAGATTGCTGTGGCAACGGAAACAGCAGGTCAAAACCTACAGGAGCTGACGGGAGCTGGCCAGCCGGTGGTGTCCGCTACGGGGGAGACGGCAGTGAACCGTGTCCGGACGGGCCCGTCAGCCTCACAGCGGACCAGCCAGGAGCGACACAACGCCAGTAAGCAAGCCCGGCATGAAGGTGAGAGATGCTGGCGCTGTTTGAACAGAACGCACTCTGAATCCGAATGCTACTTTAAACGTAAGCGCTGCTTCCAGTGTTCCAAGTATGGGCATACGTCGGCCGCTCACCGGGCAGGGACGGTGAAACATGTTGGGTCGGAGGTGGTCCGTCAGGAGGAGGGCGATGGATCTGGGGAAGAGCAGAGTGTGATGGAGGCAGACACTGAAGAAATTGACTTTATCGGGGAGGTTTTTCAGTGTCTGGAGCGGATTCATGTGGTGAAAAGCCGGCCTCCAATCATGCTGGACATGTCGCTGGATGGGCGCGATGTCAGGATGGAGCTTGACACGGGTGCATCTGTATCCGTCTGTTCGTTCAGCAGGTTTCAAGAGCTCTGGCCGGAGAAGAAACGCCGTCTGCAGCCGTGCAGCCTCATCCTACACACCTTCTCAGGCGAGCCTTTGAAGGTCCGAGGTGAGGTACAGATGGACGTGGTGTACCGCGGAGAGTCGTTTAGCCTGCCCCTGGTAGTAGTTGATGGGACAGGGCCGCTGCTCTTCGGCAGGAACTGGTTGGAGAGCATCAGACTGGACTGGAGAACCATCTGCATGGTGACGACGCAGACGCTGGGAAGCGGAGTTGAGTCTGTGCTGCATAAGTACTCTGATGTGTTTGCGGATGAGTTGGGATGTGCGAAGGGGATTGTGGTAGATATCCCGATTGACCCAGACACACGCCCCATATTCTACAAGCCCAGGCCGGTACCGCTGGCGTACCGTGCTGCTGTCGACGCCGAGCTGGACCGTCAGATCCAGGCCGGGCTGCTGGAACCGGTGAAACACTGCACGTGGGCTGCACCGATCGTCACTGCACTGAAGGCGTCAGGTGAGGTCCGTCTCTGTGGTGATTATCGGTTAACGGTCAACAAAGTAACGCCGCTAGAGAGGTACCCGATGCCCAAGACTGAGGAGCTATTCACGCTATTTCAGGGTGCCAGAATTTTCACGAAACTAGATCTGAAAAGCGCATATAATCAGATTCAGTTAGATAAAAACAGCAGGAAGTACATGGCTATCAATACGCACAAGGGAATATTGGTACCGACTAGGCTGGGTTTTGGATATGCCTCAGCCCCGGCGATTTTCCAGAGATACATGGAATCGCTGCTCGCTGGAATCCCAGGAGTTGGTGTGCTGATCGATGACGTCATTGTCTCAGCAGGATCCGAACAGGAACATCTGCAGCGGCTGGAGGAGGTTCTGAGACGTCTGTCGGAGGCAGGACTGCGACTGCAGCGGAAGAAGTGTCAGTTCGCGGCATCAGAAGTGGTGTATCTGGGACACCACATCACGGCAGATGGTATCAAACCAACAGCAGACAAGGTCAGTGCCATTGAAAAAGCCCCAGAGCCCAAAAACTTGAAAGAGCTTCAGGCATGGCTCGGCCTGGTCAACTATTACGCGAAGTTCCTGAAAAACCTCGCCACAGAACTGGCACCGCTGTATCAGCTGCTGAAAAAGGAGCAGAAGTGGGAATGGGGCCCAGCTCAGAGGAAGGCGTTTCAGAGTACGAAAGGTATGCTGAAATCAACCCTGACTTTAGCGCACTTTGACGAGACAGCTCCAGTCATTTTGGCTTGTGATGCCAGCCCGGTGGGGGTAGGATGTGTCCTAAGTATCATGGACAGGAACCATGTTGAGAGGCCAGTTGCGTTCTACTCGCGGTCTCTGTCGGAGACTGAGAGACGGTATTCCCAGACCGATCGCGAGGGCCTGGCAGTGATTGCTGGCCTGGCCAGGTTCAATTTTTACTTGGCAGGTCGTGAATTCTTGATCCGGACAGATCATAAGCCGCTGCTGGGTATGCTTGGAGGAAATAAGCCGGTATCACTGATGGCCTCTCCCCGGGTGACACGATGGGCTATGCTGCTCTCGGGGTACAAGTATAAGATGGAATATGTACCGGGTATCAAGCAGGGACACTGTGATGGATTGAGCCGACTTCCTGTGTCTGCAGGATCGCCCCAGCTGCCCGTTCCAGCTGAGACGGTGCACCTGATGCAGTTCTTCGACTCGTCACCGGTCACCGCTGAGTCCATCCGTCTGTTCACCGCCAGGGATCCTGTGCTGAGTGCCGTTCTGCGCTTCACCAGGGAGGGCTGGCCGTCGGGCGACCTCGTGATGCCAGAGCTGGTACAGTACCGAAGCAAGGAAGGTGAGCTGAGCATTCAGGATGGATGTTTGCTGTGGGGGTCACGGGTGGTGGTACCCCCCAAGATTCGGCCTAGAATTCTGTCTATGCTGCATGAGGGACATCTGGGAGAGAGTCACACGAAAAGTTTCGCTCGTATGTATGTCTGGTGGCCTGGGATAGACAGAGAAGTCTCTGAACTGGTGCGTCACTGCCCGACATGTCAGCAGTATCGCCGACAGGCACCCGTGACGCCACTCAGTCCGTGGGCCTGGCCGAAAAATCCCTGGGACCGAGTGCATATTGATCACTGCCAGTTCGATGGCCACTTGCTCTTGATTGTTGTCGATGCGTACTCAAAATGGATTGACGTGCACTTGGCCCGTTCCACGACAGCCGAGAATACCATGGAGCTGCTGCGCAAGTCATTTGCATATTTTGGAATCCCGCGGACCCTGGTCAGTGATAACGCAACATGTTTCACAGCGCCAGCGTTCGAGACGTTCTGCAAGCAGCTGGACATGCGCCACTTGCTGACCGCACCCCTGTCGGCCAAAAGTAACGGTCTAGCGGAGCGTTGTGTGCAGACGGTGAAGCAGGGCCTGAGAAAGCAGAAACATGGCAGCATGGACACGAAAATCTGCCGGTTTCTGTTTACCTACCGTACCTCTCCTCACAGCACAACGGCGCAGACTCCAGCGGAGCTGATGATGGGCCGACGTTTGCGGACTCGTATGGATTGTTTACTGCCTGACCTACAGGACCGTGTGTCAGCCGCACAGCAGCAGATGAAGGAGAGATATGACCGTGGGTCACAGGATCGTGTTCTAACCCCTGGAATGCGTGTCTGGGTGTCACAGGTCTCCGGACTGGCCGGCGTCGGACGGGGAACTCGCTGGCTCCCGGGACACTGCGTGAGCCGCTCTGGATCCAAGATCACTGTTCGTCTGGAGGACGGCCGCGTGATACAGCGCCACCTAGACTTCGTGGTGCCCAGCGGTTCTAGCCGTCAGATGGAGCTGACCGATGAGCCGACGCCGTCCATGCCGCCGGTTTGGATGCAGCCGCTTCCGCCTGGGACACCGCTTTCCGAGGAGGGAAGAGGACGACTCGCCGCACCAGCGGAGAGGGATCCCGCGGCCGGGGGGCCGCCGGGGACCAGGGCCGCGTCCGCGGCGCCGCTGCCCCCGCCGCCGCCGTCTGCGGATCCAGGGACCACTCAGCCGGGGGACGCCGAGACGCCGCCGCCGTCCCCGCCGCGGCCGCCGTCTGCGGCTCAGTGTACCACTCAGCCGCAGCCTGATGATCCGCCGCGTCGCTATAACTTGAGGCCGAGGCCGATACTAAGAAAATAGGGTGGAGAGGTGTTATGTAATGGGCCGTGTGCACACCTGTGCAGACCCCTGCCTGGGCATTGGCGGTGGCCGATATGTGAGTTGCCTGCTACTGTGTGTGTGATACCTGGGTCGGCCCCTGCCGAGGTCAGGGACTGCCTGAGGGGACGACCCTCCTGTCGTCCCCACCACCGTGCTACAATACAGTCAGTCGGAACCGAGCGGTGGTGTGTCGATGGTGGGCCGCGAGACATAACAGTAAAGAAAAGTCTTCAACGCAAGTCTTTCTCTTCCCCGTTTCCTGAGTACGTGAATAATCATTCAACACAGTCCACGGTACGCGCTGCCAGTGAAGAGTTACATTGTACACTATTTGCCCCACGGAGGCACTGGGTGGGTCCGTTTACCGTGACTGGTCAGCGGCCCGGTGGATGACCACACTGCGGCCCAGGATGGTGTCGGGCCCAAACAGCTGCAGGTTGGTGTCGTTGCTGACACGCTGCACCTCACTCCTGCCAGTCAGCTCGCCATACTTGCCGCTGAGGTCCCCAGACTGCCGGCCACAACAGCCGTCGTCCATCAGCATATTGCACGAAATGCAAGAAGAGCACGAAAACAACGACCAAACACCATTCAGTTTTCGAATCCAAGGCTTTAATAATTGACAACACTGCTATACTTCGCGAAGTGACGCTGGCCAATGGCCATTTTATCCACCCTGGGCAATTTAGGAGTTTAGATTAAGCAGACTAGAAGAACAACAAAGCTCAAAAAGTCGCTTGTAACTACCAACGAAAGCTTTCTGTGAAGTCTTTTGTAGCAATTGCCAACCCAACAGCACAGGAGTCACCGTATCAACACCACAATCTTGTGAGCTGTGGCAATTTGATTCGTTGAGCCCAACCGTCTGTGTTGATCGTTTGCGTCTCACCTCGTACTGGTCGCTGGAGCCGTGTCCTGGCGGTGGGGACGCCCTGGGGTTGATCCCGTACGGATTGAAATGACCACCGATAGCGATGTTATGGCACGGAAACTCGTCTTTAAGCTGTACAGGCACCTGTAGGTCATTGGCATATTGAAACACACGGCCCCATGCCTTACCAATGCATATTATGTTATTATATTGCATGATTGTGTGTGTTCAACGGTTATTAAGTGAAGCACACTCCGTGGCGCACATAGGAAGCGTCCTTACCAGATGGACGTGGTAGCCTCCGGCAGCGCCGTCCAGTCCAGTGAGGTCCGTCTCCGTGTTCGTTATCGTGTAGGGAGACTCCTGTATAAACTCTATTTTGCCTTTGATGTTGCCTTCCTTTTCACCGTTGAAGGCCCACTGTTTCACAACACCCTTATATCGGAACAGGCGAATTATTCTGAAAATACAAAACGGAAGCTATCAGAGTAGGCAACAGACAGGGAGCAATGCCTATTTTATGTTAAGTCTGAGATATTTACGGATGATGGCGACAGGCGACAGCTGTACAGACTACAGTACCACTTCAAGTTCATTTCATTAATGAATGTGAAATAAATGATCCCAATATTGAAAATTGAAATCAATAAACGGGAACTGTAACCGGTACTTATATTCTCTTTCTTGTTAGTGCTGTGCCAAATCCTTTCAGAATTGCTGCCGTGGTAGAGGAGAAAAACAAGTAACTACTTTTTACGAGTTTTGGATGTTTATATGTTTGAATATATCCCTATGAAACAAAACGACTGACACCTTGTAAAATATTTTTGGAATATAAACCTATGATTTTGAAAAGAAAAAAATCGGCGAATACCTACTAATAATTTGTAATGAGTGCTGAAACCACATCAGGTGGCACAACAGTCAAAGATAATTCATAATCAAGAGTGTGAATCTGTAGTCCCGACACAAGCGCGAATGCAGTGGTACGTTACACATCACACACACACGCTGGTGGATGACGGTACCGGAGAGAGAAGACTGCTGGCCTTCTCCCTTCCACTGGAAAACGGAAACAAACAGCCTGTGTGCAAATATGTTTATCTTCAACACTCATTCGGGACGGTCAGCAAAGGATGACCACTCGAGACCCGTCAGCTCCTCCAATCCGAACAGGGACATGTTGCGCATTGCCAACGTAGTTTCGTGCAATTTTGACCACCAAGGGCAACTTTGGCCCACGCCTGGAAAAATAATTTTGTTTTGCTGTAGCTTTTTACACTTACCTAGTGCAGAAAAGTTGTTATGGTTCGGTAAGACTGTTCGTCGGTTACCTTTGGGAACAATCCTGAGTTGGTCCTAAGGCCATGAGTTGAAGGGCTAGGAGGGGTTAAAACAACCCATTAAAAATAAACGGAAAATTAGGGTTGGCTAGGATCGAGTGAGGACGGTAAACGGGTGCGCCAGTAGTGAACTTGTGGTTTCCAACTTGTAGAGGTTAAGGTAAGCTCTGAATACACAAAAATTCAGAATAGTAACTCCTTTATTTAAAATAACAAAATAGGTGGTCAACGTGTTTCGCTTTCGCAACCAAAGGAACATGCTGCCCGGAGCATTATCGGTATAGCGCCTTCCTTTGGTTGCAAAAACAAAACACACCCCCGTCTCCAGAGCCTTTCAGAGCCCCACGTAGGTTGATGACGGAGAAGAGCCACACTAACCTTTTTGGGCATCACGCTGACCTCTGAGAGCCTATGCCGGCATGTAAGGACCCTACAGGACTTTGCACCTGTCTCCTACGACATGGTATCTGAGGTACCACGTACCAAGATTACTGAGTGTCCCAAACCCCCTCTGTGGGCCTTCGCCGGCTGGCGGGCGGCTCCCGTGGGCCTTATGCCGAGAGCCCGCACGCATATATTTTTTTGCGGACCACATCGGTTTCTGATGGGTCCCGCGGATTCTGAGCGTCAGGTGCCGAGCTGCTCTGAGGGCCAATGCCAGCCTCTAGACCCACACCGGCCTCTGGTAGACCACACTGGTCTTTCCCGTCCCCAGAGACAGACCACCAACCTGAGCTTACGATCACCCAGAATGGGAGCCTGCTGAATGGGAGCCTGCTTCATTACGATTAGGAGCTGCTCTTGCCGCACACCGGTGACCGTCCAGCCAGTAGTTGGGCGTCGCGCAGTGAGGACGACGATAGGTAGAAACAACAGATTGACGCCCCGAGGACAGAAACAACAAATTGATACGTTAATGAGAATATGCGGGACACGGAGCTAGGTCGCCGGAAAAGACGAAATGTAACGTATATTGCTGAACAAAAAAAAAATATTTGTCACTACGTGACCAATCTCAGGTCAAGGTCACATAGTGACCTTGACCTGAAGCATTTTTTTCGAAGCGTCTGAAAGAGAGAAACACGATAGTGCCATTACCAATTCTTCATCTTTGTTTGTTCAAGTTATTCGTGAAAAAAGTTGTATTTAAAAACAGCTGTTTTTTCATGTTTGACCTATGGAGGCTTAACCGTTGACCTGAGTTCAATTTTGATGATGACCTTATCAAAAGAAGAGTTAAAAACTATCGATTGATCTTCCATGCGTTTTTCTAGCTATCATAGTTCCTGAGATAACGTCATGTTTTCTGAAAAATATAACCTTTGGCAAATTTTGACCTTTGATGATATCTGGTGACCCCAATACTGCTCTAAGATAAAAAATGACTGAAATACTTTCAAACTTACGCATTGAGAGCTATCGACTGCTTTTAACTGCGTCTTTCTAGCCCTCTTAGTTTTTTAATTAGAGGTGGGTGGTAACATATGCCCCCCCCCCCCACACTATAGCGAAGTTGGCTGAGACCGCCACTGGGGCGTGGTTTAATTTGACATGCTGAATCCAAAAAGCATACATGTCTCGCAAGAACAAAGTTATCACCAAAACACTCAGCAAGTACACCTTCCGACATCACGCAACAATCGCATGCATAAAAGGAAGAAAATGAAAACATCCAGCGCTGCCATTGTTTTAAAGTATTAATTTACTAATTTAAACTGTCGAGTTAAATCAATATGACATCACAAGAGCAAAACAAGAAAGGGGAAATGTAGGGAGCCGGGGTTATTGGGTGGGGGGGGGGAAATACGATGAAAAGGGTTAGAAATTGGGGAACTGTTGGGAATCGGGGTTCATGGGTTGGAAGGTAAAATAATAAAATATTAAAATGACTTCATAATAACAAAAAAGAAAAGAAAAGGGAACTGCTGGGAACTGGGGTTCAAGGTTGAATGAAACACATTACAGATGTTATTCAGTTGTATTGTGAAAGTGACGTCATAATAATACTCTTGGCCAACTCGCGGCGAAGCAGTGCAGTGCCGAAGGCAATGCCTCAGGATAGCTCACAGGCAATAGTAAATCAAATATTTCCGTTATACATTAGACTGCACTGCGGAAGTCAAATTATTAGGGATCGGACCCCGCGACCCCACCGATGTGGTGGAGCCCGTGGGCACTTTCATTGGTATACCAGTGAGACAATGAGGAATGTTAGCCTGGACGCTTGTATTGCAGGGGAACGGAACGTACAGCTGCGGTACAATTTTCCGCTTCCCCTTCGAGCTGCCAGCAAACATAGACAATTAGCTATGCTATGCGTAACCAATCTCAGCGCAAACCTCACAACCAAGTCCCTCCAGGAAAACACTGTAGCTGTACAAAAAGGGGCTATTGGTATATTCAGCCCAAATGAACACGACACAAACATACTAGCAAGTATACATGTCTCAACCGAGACTGCCCTGCCAACGGGCCGCCACCCCTCCCCTCGCGCGGCGCAATGGTGTCCCCACTAGTGGTGTCAATCGGTTACCAATATTTCGGTATACCGATACCGAACCAATACCGATTCGGTATTCGGTATTTTATACTAAAAGCATTTGGTATTTTGTCGGTATTATGAAAGTCAACTACTGTCATAAAAAAATTGAAAACATTTTTGATAAACCTTCTGAACTCAAATTTGATTTGCTAAATGACATTGGATGAAGAAAAAGGACAATCATGACACATTTCTCCCAAATGCATGATGTCATAACAAATGGACAAACACATTAACTGTAACATTAAACACATCAGTCTACGAATGTTAAATGGCAACTTATCAGTACTAGCAAATTCCAACACCATGAGGATAATTATTTTACAAAAAAGCTAATGTGCAAGACATAAACATGTATCAATGTTTAACTCACTGTATACTGGAAAACACACTTTAACTACCTTAGGTACTCAAAATTTCCAAAGCTTTCATTAGTAACAAATTTGACTTTGTTTTGAGGAGTCTGTGATTGATCTTGACCTTGTCTTGCTCTCCATTTCACTGCAATGCAGTTACATTATCCAAAAATCAAAACCCTGTTTTTTATAGCACTAGCTTCACCATTATCATCTAATATTGAAGGCAGCATTTATCACTTCATCATCATCCCACATTCGCAACATTCCACAAATTCTCAACTTCGCAGTCAACTTCAAAAAGATCCTGTGGATAATTTATTTCTTTTAATTAGTGTTCTCTTTCCTGCTCTCCTCAACAGATAGAAATCGCTAGCAATGTAATCAAAAGCATTTCTAAAATATAATTGGGTGTTGGCTTGAATCGCAAATAGCAGTTTTAAAACTGAACACATCTAAGAACTTTTAAATGTCGCAGCTGCGCCAAAACCCGATGTAGCTCAACAACTAATTGAAAATAATTGAGCAAATTTGTTTTTCTGGTTCTTCACTTTTTAGCAATAGCGGCCTTCAATCTTTCTTGAATTAATTTTAAGATACCAAAATATGAACATCATATTTCTAAATTAAGTCTACGAAGTGTAAAAAAGGAAAACTTTATTTTATGCAGTTCCGTGCGTTTCGTATGGCCGCCGCCTGCAAGGCTGCCATTGTGGAAGAGATGCCACGTGACACGTGTCAATGATTCTGTAAAATTATGGACATTTTACTTAGCTTTCATCGCGATATCATTACAGTGGTGTCTGCTATCTATCAGTGTGCCTCGTAAGTAATTATTTATCAAGATTTGTTGTGTTAAACGTTTGTTTATGATGAAAAATTGGCTGCGTCACTATCGTCACCATTGCTACTTGAGTTGAACTGTAGGTATCATGGATTTTGTTTACATTAATGGTGTAGCCCAGCCCATCACTGTCATTTGGTTACCATTTTTGGATCATGATACCACATGTAACCCTGTCTTGACTGGACTCAAATTGAATGACTTGAACTGAAAGGACGTTTGATGGTTCAGGCATGGATCAGATGGATGAGATTCAGGGTTCAAGTTCTTGTCCTATCACCTCATCCAGATGACTTGAATCCACATCCCAGGTAACTGACCTGAATATTTGTTAATAGTTACACAATACAGTTATATTTTTTGCATTGCAAATAATTTAGAGATTTCCTGACTTGTTTTTGTTGCCTTATTCTAAAGTATTAGGTACCTTTCAATGCTTATCATTTGTTTTGAGAAAGTTTTGAAGCATTTGTTTCATGATTCCCTGAATTCGGTACCTAGTCGGTATTTCACCCTATTTCTGAAAATCGGTTCGGTTTTGGTATACTCTCAGTGGTTTTGGTCGGTATCGGTTTGGTATTGGTTTCCAAAATTTCTGAAATTGACATCACTAGTCCCCACCCAAACTAGAAACCCTGTCGTGTGTGTCCTCCCCGGAAAAAGTCCTAACTTGAAAAAAAAAACGGGGGACCTAGCTGGGGAAAAAACACATGTTGTGGAAAAACCCATTTTTATTTAAGAGTGTGGTGCGTGTAAAAAAAGGCCCAAAAATGGTGGTGGGTGGGTGGGAAACGCAAAAACATTCCAGAGCGAGAACACTGCTGACTCCCGTCAGACCGGGCGGCTTAGAACAGAGTGACCGCGCAAATGCACTCAAACCCCGCGCCGTCACCGTCACGTGACACGAGTCGCTCCACCAGGGTTGTGCTCGACTCAAAAAAATTTGCCGACTCGACTCATCATTCAACTTCAGAAAGCCCTGACTCAACTCTGACTCAAACAAGGAGCTGATTTTTTCCCTTGACTCGACTCATGACTCAAGCGGCTCAATGAAAATATGAGTCGACTCAAACTTGACTCAAATTTTTGTTGAGTCAAGTGAGTTGACTCAAAATTGACTCAGATAAAAAAGTTGTTCGGCGGGGGCGGGGGTGAAAAAAAAAAATCCGGCAGCAGGGCCAGGGCGAAGTTGTTAAGCGGGGGATGAAAAGCTTGTTTCTAGAAATTTGAGTCAGCTGACTCATGTTCCTAAATGTTTGACTCAACTCAATGTCAAAAGTTATTTTACTGACTCAACTCTGACTCAACTCAACGCCTTAATATTTTTGTCCGACTCAACTCTGACTCAACTCAACAGCTCAACATTTTATCCGACTCGACTTAAATTTGACTCATTTGAGTCAGAGTTGAGTCAAATTTCTGACTCGACTCATGAGTCAAGCACAACCCTGCGCTCCACCAATCAGAGGAGGCCGCCGCCTTAGCGACCTTGCCGCCCGGGGGCGCAGGCGGCCGCCCGCCTGCCGCCGAAGCTGCTCGCAGAGGCCGGCCTGGATCCGGGGCCGCCCCAAAGAAAACGCTCGTTGTGTCGCGGAAAAACCGGTTAAATATTGCCATATATAACCGGGCGTATTTTTTAATGAAAATGACTGACTCCGGTTAATAAAGCCACCGCTTAATAAATCCAAAACAACTTGTCACCAAGGTGGATTTATTAAGCGGATTCCACCTTACGATTTTTCTCCGCCTTAGCTGTATAAAAACCTTGCGTAAAAACTTCTTTTTATTGATCCCTGCAATTCTGAATCAGAAACTTCCGTTTCCGTTTGAGCATTGTTTGATCAGCGCCTTTCCGCGCTCGTCACTTCGTTACGATAATGGCTTCAGCGTCGAGTGATTCCGGTGATTCCTACTGCTGCGGGTGCAAGTGGTAGGAGTACGAGCTAGTTGGAACTTGAAGAAACGAGGAGCGCGCCATGCATATTTTTTTCGAGAGCACGGTGTTCTTCCCCCAACCGTTACTTGTCCTTTGTGCGACAGCCAGTGTTAAGTTTGTTAAGGACTGAGGTCTGTGGCGCTGCACAGTGCACATTTACCTCCCAAGTAGGAAAGACAAAGCGGTGGCGCATTTGCAACTTCAGCATCTCGAACAAAAGAAGGGACTTTTCTTGAACGCAGTCGCATCAACGCATGGCAATTTATTAGCATATTCGTGCAGAAGCGGTGGTGCAACAGCGCTGCCACGCCAAATCTGGGAATCTCACGGCAAACAAGCGTGGACTGGAGAAGCTTTTGCTCGGAAGTTTCCCCAAAGTGGTTGTACGAACAGAAGCCGATAGGCGGACCCGGAGGGATAGTAGAAATCGACTTTCGTGAAGAGAAAAATGTCGGCGAAATGTCGAGAGAAAAAAAAAACGGCGCGGAGCTTCGCCGTTTTTTTTTTAGATGTTCGCGAAAAACCACAGGGGGAGTTCAAGCATAGCAGGGAGCAGGGCGCAGGTTAACATTAGTTTTGATTTGAGACTGTCAAAATGGGGTCCATGGCTACACTCAGAAACAGAAAAGCCCATTAGGTTGGCTCTGAGGCACCTGGCACGTCTTTGCAAAGAGCCACCCTTTTTTAAACAATTTTGTTTTTTTATTTGAGCTTCAGTTAAACCACCAACATTTTTATCTCTTTGGAGATAATGCGTTGGAGACCATACGCTGGTGTACATTGGTCTCTTTGGAGACCATACGTTGGTATACATGAGAAAAGTCGTGGCGCGCCCGGATTCGAACCGGCAATCTTTCGATTGATTAACCGCAACTTGACTCTATCCATTGAGCTACCGAGGCGCCTTGTCGCAGTGGCCACAGACGGCATTCTGTACCAGCGGCGGCGGCGGCTGACAGGCTGTCGTATAAACGACTTCGGTCGTGTTTTTTTTTTTAGAGAGATTGGCAGCGTTTGTGGTGACGTTGGCCAAGTGTGGATGATGTGCAGCGGGTGCGTATTATTTAGGCCAGGGTTCATAATGTCTAGGGCACAATGTGTCCAGTGCTCGAAATGGCCAGTGCCCTGAATTGGCCAGTGTTCACATTGTCCAGGGATTACATGGTCCAAATGTGGCCAACTGGCTGCAGAATGCAGATAGGGTAAATTCAAAGAGGCCAGGGTTTATAATGTCCAGGGCACGATGTGTGCAGTGTTCGAAATGGCCAGGGTTCATAATTTCCAGGGCACGATGTGTCCAGTGTTCGAAATGGCCAGTGTTCATAATGTCCAGGGCACGATGTGCCCAGTGTTTAAAATGACCAGTGCCTTGAATGGGCCAGAGTTAATAATGTCCAGGGATTACATAGTCAACCCAACCCAACCAAACCTAACCTAACCTAACCTAACCTAACCTAACCTAACCTATATCGCTGAGAGCTGCTGCGAGGAGCATGATAAATGTAGGAAGTATCACTAGAATATATGACCTCCTCGGAAAATGACCAAATGAATGAAAATGATTATTTATTGATGAATTGATGATATTTCGGTCACAGACCTTCGTCTAAATCGAAGTCGTTAAATCGTACAAGGCAAAAGTAGCGAGTGAAATGCGCAACAATTGTCGACTGCCTGTAGAAAGTGAAAAATTCAAAATTCGTTTGTCTCGTGGTCGTCATGCAGGGCTAACATCACATTTCGAGATTCGCATCGCTTTCGATCGTAAAAACGTATCGATATCAAATCGTACAACAATATCGAACAACAAAACATCAACAAAACATCTGATCATACACCCTAAAGCATGGGTGTAGTTTTCCAAAAATCATTGGGGGTGCTCAATAGCTTTCAGAAAGGCACGCCATAGTTTTTGTAGTTTTTTTTAGCTGTTCTTTTTTACTGTAGCCATCAGGCATCATGCAAGAAATGATGTTAAATCGGTTCGAGAGCTTGTTTTAATAGCGCCACTGTAAAACAATTTCGGCTCACCCAATGCATTAACCCGCTTAACCCGCGCGGGGCTGGGGTCTCCAGCCGAACGCGCGGGGTTGGGGGATAAATTTTACCCCCCTGTTATCTCCCGAACTAATGGTCCGATTTGGAAAATTCAAACGCCAGTCGAAGGATCTCATCACGAATAACTAAAAACATGTACCTACTTAATTTAAAGTTTGAGGTCAAGGTCAAGGTCAGGTCAAGGGTACAAATTGCAAGTTTCTACAGTATCGGCCTTGCACCGTAGTTGCCGCAGAATGGAGTCATGGACTGA